AACAACAGACATGATATTCTAAAATGTGTGAGAAAATAACCAGAATTTTAATTTCATCTCTCCAAGCTAGTAAAATATTGTTGATTTCTTCATTACGTATTTGTCTTTACTTTTTAGGCTTTTCTAGATCTAGCATTTAAAAAATTAGCTTTTGAGCATCATGCAATTTATAAATCAAAAACAATTATGACAGGGCCAGCAATATAGCTCAATGGACTAAGCACCTGCTTTGGCAAGAACAGGGACCATGGTCCAATTCCCGGTTCAGCATGCCACACTGGTCCCACCCCCAGGGTGCACTGAGCTGGCAACAGAGTCCAGGCATGGTGGCACATACCTGTAATCGCAGGGATGGGGAAGCTAAAAACAGGAGGATCACTAGGAGTGCCATCTGCGTTAGTGAGACACTGTTCCAAATAACACAAATGGAAAAAAATTATGACAGAACTTGTAAAAGAAAAAAAGTACAAATCCTCAGTAGTTATTGGTAAAAAGTGATAAGTAGCATTGACTGGGGATGTAATGCCTTGGTAGAATGCTTGCCTAGCATCTAAGAGGCCCTGGGTTTTAATCTCTGATACAGGAAAGAGATGGGGCAATAGAATGCCATTCTACTTCACTTAAATCAGTTGCTGTGTCCATTCTACAAGTACTAAATGTTTATTGTGTGTTGCATATTGCTGTTAGATAGCATGGAAATAAAAGCCACTGTTGACACTCTCAAGTCGTATCAGCAATATGGTAATTGTAAGACATGATAGTACCAACATTTGCAATATGGACATTTTAGGGTCATTTTCCACAGAGCTTACCAGTGAGATAAGTACATGCTTAAAGATAGCTTTCTAAAGGCAGTAACACCAATTAGATCATCTTTACAGAGTTTTCTCCATTTTAGCTGCGATACAGCAATGGCGATCAGAAGGCAGAGTAGCTGTGTGGCTGCACATTCCCATCCTCCAGAGCCGATTTATTGCTCCTGCTGCTTCTCTGGGTTTCTGCTTTCACCATGCAGAATCGAATTCATCAACTCTGACCCTGTGGCTGGGAGAAGGGCCCAGCAGATTACCGGGATATGCTACCCATCAAGTAGGAGTTGCAGGTTAGTGTCAAAATCATGGAAAAAGCATTGACTTTTTAGATGGTCACCCAATTTCTTGCTTCTTACAGCTGAAGAAACAGATTATTCATGAATTATTTGATTCACTGGTATGCTTCCTTGGGACCAATTCATACTGCTTTTACATAGATGAAGTTTGCCTTATCAGTCAGCAGGGAGCAGCACAGAGAGCACCAAGAGTTTCGTTTTCCAAAAGATAGATTTGAACATGTTCCACAGAGCATGTGCACTTCATTATTTGAACTTAATTACTGAGATAGTGGCACTGAACTGGGATCAGGATTTAGTCAAGCATATGACAACCTAAGTAAATAAAACAGTCAGAATCTCCAGAAATGGGTGATATTTAGGAATAGCAAGTTGTAATGGGAATTCACATGCCATGGTAAGCTAGGAGAATATTCAGAGAGATTGAGGGCAAAGTAAGTTTTTAAAAACAAAAAGAATTCTAGTGGATATTTTTGAAACAATAATCCTTGTGTTACAATAGATTAATAATAAAAGTGTCATCAGCTCAAGGTTGAATAGTTGCTTGGCAAGTGACCTTGAAGAGAGTCTTTCTGTGGTGCCTCTCTGTAAGCTTGTGATTTTAGCAGGGTTTTTTTCAGATAGTTACTATCCAGCATTCATGAATGAGGATCCTTCCCTCATAACCTCTCAGAATGCCACAAGGAACTCCATTTTTATGTGTAGGGACAGCCCCCACACATATTAGTATTAAATATGTGAGCTTGCACAGTAAAAGATAACTTTTAGGTTGAATATAATGCAAACCAATATTTCAGTGTTAATTGTTAAGAACATATTGTTACTGTGCCAATTATTTAAAGTGAAATAATTTTACTGTAGTATAGAATGTTGAAGTCATTCGCTTCAGAAACCTAATGTTGAAAACACTTCTATCACACCAAGAGGTTCTCAAACTGAGTACATCAGAATCACTTGGAAGCCTTGTCAGAACACATGGCTATACCCAGTCCCCAGAGCCTTTGATTCAGGGAAGTGAGCCTAAAAGTTTGCATTTCTTGTAATTTCTTGAAGCTGTTTGTGTTCTTGCTACTAATCTCAATACCACTCTTTGAGAACCAGGGTTAAGGAAATTCTTAAATTTCCACAAAAAAAAAAAAAAAAACAAAGACTCCTTTATCGTCTTAAGTTTACTAAAGCAGAAATATAATTAGTAATTAATTTTATGTGCTTTCAAATAATTCACCAGAGTTTTTGAGCTAGTTTGCACATCTGAAGTATTATAAAGGGATATCGAATAATGTGCTCTTTGTGGTCATACTACCCTGTAGCAAGAAAACATTCAGAAAATTTCCATTTAGCTCTACTTCAAAAGATCTTACATAATAATTTGATGACAGTTCCACACTTCATTGTGAAGTCATACAGATCTGGTTATTATAGAATCAGTAATATACAGTACACATACAGGAAATCTTATAAAAGACTTTTTTTATAAGAATTACACTGTACATTATAATTACTGTCATGGCAAACCTTTTAGAGCTTTCAACGATACAAACAGCCCTCTGCAGTATGTGTGCCATAGGTTTGCCACTGCTAGTTTAGAAGAACCTGAGGCTTTTAGCGCATGGGAGGTGTGGAACTTGACCAGTCTTAAAGGATAGCTAGGATTTCAGATGGCTCTTGGGGGACAGGAACAAGGTAAAGTAGGAAATTGTTCTGGACAGGTCCAGAGGTTTTTAGGTAAAGACGAAATAGTTAACTTTTTTTTTTTGCAAACATCAGAGGTAGGTGTCAATAGATTAGAGTGAGCTATGACCTTATTGTTCTTCAGACCTAACAAGCTTGTGTCTGACTAGACTCTTTTTGTCAAAAGGCTCCTTTTTCTACAGTTTGCTTCCCCAAAGTTTTGTTCATCTAGTTCTTTAGAGCTGAAGTTTCTACTCAAATATCTTCCTTTATGAAAAGCTTCTACAGTACGGCTCTCCCACATGATAATCCCATCAGGCTATGTCCCTTTATGTATATTTATTTCTTATAGCACTTAAAATCTGAATTTATGTCATGTACTCAATCTCTCCCACGATGATATAAACTATGAAGGCAGATATTTTATGTCTTGTTCAACACTGAATGCTCAGGCAGGAGACAGTTTGGCATGAAGCAGGCACCCATTACTTCATGAATGAATGAACTAGAAAATGTCAGCCCTCTGAGAGAGTAGCACTGTTCTGAAGGGCCTGTGTCGCACATGAGTGATTCCTTGGAATTCAGACTGGCTGCTAAGCCTACTTCTGCCCCTGAAGGCTCTGTGAACTCAGTCACTCAGTATGATACTCGCAGAATGATGAATACCTGAGATAATGCACATAGAGCACTTAGCACAGTGCCTGCTAATAATAGTAATACATTGCACCAGGGACTTCCCTTTAATCCTGAATCTTGGGTTGATTTACTTTTTCTATTGTGACCAGCAGGGGTCGCTCAGATTGTTTCCATATGGTGCAGGTTTTCTTGAACTTGGGCTCGAGTGTGAATTCATTGGGAAAAGTTCAATTTGGACAATCACAGATTTTTAAAAGGGTGTATTTCCCTTGCATTCTTTGCCTTAGAAAGTTCTTTAATGTTACAGTTTACATTTTAAAATAGAATTCATCACTAATGTTATTTATAATTTACTTAGTGGTTTTCCTTGTTTTAAAAATGTGTAGTATTTTTGGGGGGAGCTTCATTCTAATTACTTTGCCTTGTGTTACAAATTTCTATTCTTTTCTCGACATAGTATTACCACCTTCTGATGTCCTGTGTAACTTATCTTTGTCCCTTGTCCACATACATACATACCAGAATGTGTGCCCCTAAGGATGGCAAGTTTTGTTTATCACTATACATGGCACCAGTAACAGCACCTGACAAATCATCAGGACACAAAGAAAATGAAAATAAAAAAGAAAGATTAATTTTTTTACTATGTACTGTGAAGAATGGACAGTCTAGAAAAGAAACCTATGCAAATAATCTATATGTTAGCATATGCTAGAACTATCTTTGATTAAAAATATATCTATGGTAAATAGGGCTGGGAGATAGCCCAGTAGTCTAAGTACCTGCCTGGCAAGTGCAAGGACCCAGATTCAATCCCCAGTACTACATGCTGTGCCCGCCCAGAAACCTGGCATAGTGGTACACACCTGTAATCCCAGCACTGGGGAGGCTGAGACAGGAGGTTCACTACAAGTCTGAACTGCATAGAGAGATCCTATATCAAATAAGTAAATAAAACAGTGAAAAGCTTGCTAAAAAAAAATTGGTGTTTTTTTTTGTTTGTTTGTTTGTTTTTAATTTTAGGGAGGGGTCTACAGGTTGTTCAGGGTCTCACTACTAGATTGGACTCGGAGTGATCCACCTGTTCACAGCCTCCCAAGAGCTGGGATTACAGGCATACCACAACACCTAGTCTCACTTGTCATCTTAGCGCACCTCAGGGGCTTGGCCTGCACAGCAGGCCTGGGGGTTGAACCCCCGGCCTCTGCGCCTGCTTGTAGGTGCTTTAATCCACTGAGTTATTTGGCTGGCCCTCAAAAAATGGACAATTAAGCAGTCCATTACTAATAAGATTTATAAGTTTTCATGGATATGGTGATATTTCAACTAGGTCTTCAAGATACTAGGGTTTTGATAATCACAGCTCAGCATAGGAGAAATCAAAACTAAATGAAAGTAATATTTCTCCCTTTTCTTTTTTTCCCCAAAAAGGAGCTGTATTTGATGAAAGTACTAGGAAAATACTGGTTGTGCAAGACCGAAATAAAGTAAGTTGCTTTCCTTGATATAATTTCTTCTTAAATGTTCTCTAGAAAAAAATAAAATTAGAAATTTCAGCATGCTTAAGAAATTGTCAAAAGATAAAAATTGTGAGTCATTTTAGTATTTATGTGAGTCAAAAATAATTTATAGAGGTCTTGAAATGTCAGAGTATCAGTGTTGTTTACTGTAACTTTATGGCCACAGGATACTTAGGACTACTTGGGAAGACAATCGTGTCGCTAACACATTTCTAAGATACTGTTCCAGTCATTCAGTATTCATCAGGATGCTACACTTTGCCAGGTGCTGAGAGTACAACGATCAGTAAGGCAATATCCCTGCTGACCTGTTGGGATAAGCAGTCTTAAAACAGGTGGTAACAATTCACTTTGCTTTTAGAAGATCTTAAAGACTTCTCAGAGAAGGAGGTATTTAAAACAGTGTAGAAAACTAGAGTAGATGATTCCTAGAAAAAAAGAGGACAAGGAAGATAGAAAATGAAGATGGAGGGTGACAAAAAGAGAGAGGAGACAGAAAGGAGAGGGGAAGAGTAGAGACAGCAGAGAAAAGGAAAAAGGGAGAGAGAATTAGAAAATGGAGAGAAGTGAGAGTGAGTGAAGGAAGAGGAAGTGAATGGGGAATTAGCAGAAGAGTTGAGAAAAAGAAGGGAGAGAGGAAGAGAGTAAAGAGGAGGGAATGGAGCAGAGGCGGAAGGAGAAGATAGGGAGAGGAGGGGGCAGAGAGGGAAGAGACAGGAGAGGAAGAGAGTGAGAAGAGAGGCAACAGGGAGAGACAGGAAAGGAAGAGAGCAAAGAAGAAATGATGGAGCCAAGGAGGGAAAGAGGAGAGGATGAGAGAACTGAGAATATTAGGCACACCATTCAGAAAGGGGCTAATGTTCTCAGTATGTAATACAGATGCTACTGTGTGTTTACTGGCATTACAATTTCCTTCAGCTCAGGAACCAGCAGTGAGACCAAGCGGCACCCATTTGTGAAAGAAAAACAAGAACAAAAGAATTATTACAGAAAGGAGATGATTAAGTAAAGGAGACTTCTCAAAACCTAAGATGATTTTCTATTTTGATAGTTTTTAGACAATCTGAATGAAGACTCAAGTCTATATATACAAAATAGAATAGTCTGTAGTAATAACCCATAGTTACTAATTTTAATCCTGTATTTATAATCCTTTTTCTTTGGGTCTCTGAAGTAACTAAACTGGCAAGTGGTTCTTTAATTTTTTTTTTTTTTTTTTTTTTTTGGCGGAACCAGGGATTGAACTCAGGCCCTTGCGCTTGCCAGAGAAGCGTTTATTCTACTGAGCCTTCTTCCCGGCCCCTGGTTCTTTACATGTTAACAAATTTTGACACTTAAGTAGGTTACTTGGATTCTGAGTAAGATTAATTCAAGGTATAAAGACATTGATTTACAAATCAGAATACCACTTTACTAGTTCACAGTACAGGAAAAGGACCCAGGCTTTCCACTGGTACGAATGAAGTGGAGAAGTCCTGTCAGCTGTGGTAGATGCCACCTCCATCATGTAGAGGCACTACTGCAGATGCTGTTGAGTGGCAGGTGGTTGCAAGAGCAAGGTAAAGAATATCTGTTCACTAAATAATACGATTTGCTTTTCGTACTACACACTATGCCCTGTGCTAAGTATTAGGCATGTGTTAGTAAACAGTTTCTGCACCTTCAGTTTGGAGTCAAATGTATGGTATAAATAAATGAACAATATGTAAATTGAGGATAAGTGTATGAGGATAAAAAAATACATAATACAGGAATAATGGCTGGGTTTGCTATACTATACTAATTTCTGTATGCCTAGCATGTAATTATTTTGGTTGAATAAACTGACCAACCTGGAAGACTAGATGGATGGTAGCTTCTGTGCTATTGGTAACAGTGATAATGTTGTAGTCAATGAGATTTAACCAAATACAAGCGGGTCTGAATTACAGAAAGTGAGAGTGGTAGCATTAGAGACTAGACAATGAAAATAAAAGATAACCCAGTTTCTGGCATTTGGCCAAGTTGAAATAAGGCAAAACAAGGTCACATAATGAAAGAGAACCAAAAGGAAGAAGGTAGTAGGTCTGGGCCCTTGCTCCAGGTTAGCTGAAAGGAATTAGTGGTCTTTTTGGGGGTTATGTTTCCAGAAAATCCTGGATAGAATTTTACAGGCCATGACCCAGGAAGGTTCTAAAGCTGACCCTCTGCTTAGGGAAGCAAATGTCTTTAGAATTAGGAAAATAGTAAAGAAAAGCATCAGACTATCCTAAAAATCCTAAGTCAACTCATGTTTATCTTCAGGACAAATTTTAAAAGGAGGGGCTGGGGAAATGGCTCAGTAGAATAAGCACTTCCCTGGCAAGCAAAAGGTCCTGAGTTCAATCCCCAGTTCAAAAATAAAAGATATTTAAAAGAAACACTGTATTATTAAGCTCCAGAATGCTTTAATAGATAAAATATCTTACATTCTCTTGTTGACTCTGAAAGATTTATTATAAATGTGCCCTTTTGTTGATACCTAAATGCCTTTTCTTGGACTAGGAATTCCTAAGAGGAAAGAAAGAACAGTGAGAAATAAGACTATTTTTACATCAACAGTCTGTACATTTACCCATACATATACGTAGATACCAGATTCATAATTAGCAAATATATAAGAAAATCTGTCCTTTTTCTTCTGTTGTTTATTTATTTTTTAATGTATTTGGTACAGGGTCTCACTACACAGTTCATATTCATGATCCTCCTGTTTTTAGCCTCCCTAGTGTTGGGATTACAGGTGTGTGCCACCATGCATGGTTTTGGTGGCCAGCCCAGCGTGCCCAGGGCATGTGGTGTGGGCGATCGAGCCAGGTCCATGTGCTTTTTTTTTTTTTTTTTAATGCAGATTATTTTGTTGGTTTTTTCTTTGTTTGTTTGCTTTTGTGGTACTGAGGATCAAACTCAGGACCTTGCACTTGTCAGGCAAGCACCTATGCCACTGAGCTGTCTCCCTGGCCCAAGAAAATCTGTCATCCTATTTACCATTCTGAAATATAATGGAGCTTCTTTAAACATTGTTTAAAATCATATATTTTAGTAAGACAGCAGGATTGTTCACCTTTTATAGTATATAAAACATATGCTTAAGGAATTACTTTACTAACTCACATGGAGAGACTATATATGTGAATGCTGAGTAGGACCCAGCAAAGCAGTGGGGCACTAAAACATTTGAGAAAAATATTCCTTTTAGAGAGGAGTGGAAAATTCTCCTTTAAGATTAAGTTGGAAAAAGGATCATGGAATTTTACATTTGACGCATAGAGATGTTTTGTCTTTTATAGGAAAGGAGAACAGAGATGAAAAACATAAATCAAAAAGGCTAACTTTTTCTCAGTAATTCAATGAACTTACTGTCCTTATGAAATGATATACTGGAAGGACAAAGTAATAAGTCACTAAGTTATAATGTTAGGTGAAGAATTCACAGATAATAGGTAAATACAAAGATTTTCAACACTAAATTGGGTTTCAGTCCAAATTCACAAGCCGTGAAGGAGTATAAATGTAAGATACAGATTCTCACTGAATTTATGTCAAACATGTCAATTAAGTCTGAGGAAAAGATCAAAAGATATGAAAAAGCATACAGTGAAAGATTAGGGAGAAATAGCAAATTAATTTTGTTAATTAAATTTCTTAAAAGATAGTTGGAATCAGACTGCCTGGATTTTAACCTTGAGTTTATCACACACTAGGTTTATGACCCTAAATTTTTATGTCCTTATAAGATTTTTATAACTTCTAAAATCAAAACAGTAGTACACCCTCATGAGATTATTGTGGAGATTATGTATAGTTCTTACAAAAACATCAGAATGTCTAGAATATAGTAGGCATTCACTATATTATCCAATATCTTAGTATTGTTATGTTGTTAATCCCGTTATTGGGAGTCTTTTAGTATTTAAAAAATGGGAAGAGGTGCTTGTCTCACTATTTGACATAGGTAGAATATTAATCAGGTTTTTCAAACCATTCAGACTCATGATGGGAGAGCAGAATGAAACTTTTTTGGAAATAAGCTCTGTAAATCTAATTGAAGTCACAGAATGCAAAAGCTACTTGCCAGCATAAAAACATGTCTAATTTTTCCATGTGAAGGCCCTAATTTATGAAATAAAAATATATGTGAGCTGTTTTTAATTCTTGTATCTAGCATCTCCCCTTCTAAAAAACCTTGGGTATCTCCAAATATAATCTCCAAACAGTCTTCAGTCAGGTAAGGATTTTAGAACTGTACTTTTATTTTTTTTAGGAAACATTCAACTCCTTCATTTTAGCATTTTTTGTTATAAATATTTATGATTCTAATATCCAGTATCCTGCCAGACAAAAGCTACAGAGTTTTTGAAGAAAAAAATTTCTGGAAACTTTTTCAAAATGAAACTCAGAAAAGACAGTGGATAGACACACATTATGAAACAGATTTTGACATTAATAAGGTATATACACTTTATAAAGTTAATGTAACGCTTAAGCCGGGCAATCAATTTTATTCACACTACCCACAAAAAGCAATTTTTGTGCTAATAATATTATTGCCACATAAAATAGAAATTGTAAAGAATAATGTATGATTAGAAATACAACATGCAAAATAGATACAAAAATTAAGAACATACTTGATTGAATGTTTTATATTT